CAGACAGGGTCTGACGTGTGCAGACGGGGTATAATGTGTGCAGACGGGGCCTGATGTGTGCAGACAGGGTCTGACGGGTGCAGATGGGCCCTGACATATACAGATGGGCCCTGATGTATACAGATGGGGCGTGACATGTGCAGATGGAGTCTAAAATGTGCAGACAGGGCCTGATGTATACAGATGGGGCCTGACGTTTGCAGACAGGATCTGACATGTACAGATGGGCCCTGACGTATACAGATGGGGCATGACGTGCAGATGGAGTCTAAAACGTGCAGACAGGGCCTGAGGTATGCAGATGGGTCCTGACATATACAGATGGGGGTCTGATGTGTGCAGATGAGACCTGATGTGTACAGAAAAGTACGCCAGGCCCTGACATATAGAGATAGGGGCCTTGATGTGTGTGGTGGCCTGTGACCCTGTGTCCCCGTGACCCTGTGTCCCCGTGACCCTGTGTCCCCGTGTTCCTCTGTGAGTGTCCGTGTATGTCTGAATGGGCTGCTGCAGGTGTGCATCTCTGGCCTCATGGACACGTGTGCGTGTCCATGTGTGTCTGTGGCTGCATTGGCACCTCTGTGTGGGTGTCCATGTGTGTCTGTGGGCAGCCTCTTCCCACCTGCCTGCGGTTGGGGCTTCGGGCACAGCGAGGAAAAGCTGCCGGGGCCTGTCTGCCCTGCCTGACCCCTGACAGCACCCCAGCACTCAGTGACCTGGGCATTTGTCACTTGTCCTGGTTTTATAGACCATACTTAAATTGGTTTAACTTTGTCGAGATTTATTCCTAGCAAATTCCCAGCTATTGCTCGCTGTCAGTAGCTTTTATCCGGAAAGCTCGGCACGGCCTCCCTAACACGCCGTCAGGTGTTCGTTAGCACCGTAAATTATTTATAAGGTCGTCGTCTTAACTTGGTTGCTTGCAGCCAAGGAGAGGACAGTCCGTCTCCCCCAGAGGCAGGGAGTCAGGCTTCCTCTGTCAGAGAGAGACCAGAGTAGAGAATCTGGGAACACCTGCTGAGACAGGAGGCCTGCTGGCCACAGCCACTCCCACAGGCAGCCGACAACTCCCAGCCCCACCCTCTCTCCACCCACCCGGAGTGAGCGGAGTGTTCTGGAAGGTGGCCCTTTGTCCAGCAGCTGTGGCGGTGACTGCAGACTGAAGCCAAGGAGGCAGAACTGCAGTGATGACACTGTGAACGTAACAGCCGTAGCGACAGCTCGTCTCCGGCCCGTGATGATGCACCAGGCGATGCTGTCAAGGTCTAGGCTGGCTGCCGCCTCTGCCCCTCTGCCCCCACGGGCACGGTTGCCATCCGTCCTCCCTGTTCTCCACCCGAGGACACTGCAGCACGGAGCCGTGACAGGACTTGCCTGCGGGCCTCCGCCATCACGGCAGGGCAGGATCGGAACCCAGGCCCAGCTCTGGACACGATTGGCCGCCCCCTTCCCCCAACCCCCTAGCCCGTTCTCCACAAGGCCCCTTGCCTCACATCCTGCCCCAGCCCCTGGTAGCTGCTGTCAGGAAAAGCACAGGGGTTAGGGTTAGGTGTCACCACACCGCAGCCCAGGGGTCGGCCCCAGAGCCCAGTGGTGGATGTGCCCCCGGAGTACCTGCCGGGTAGCCGGCCCCCACAGGATGTCCTTAGCAGACTGACTTGGTTGCCTCCAGGGGATTTTCAGAAATTGCTTTTCAATTGCTAGTGGGTCCCTCACGTTTTTTCTTTGCCTGGAAACCTGGATGGGGTGTAGCAGGCGAAATCAAATAAGACGTCTTTAAACAAGAACATATAAAACAGCGTGAGGTGTTGATCGTGGGTGGACACGTGACCAGAGACTCGCAGGAGCCTCACCCCGAACGTCCCCTGGAGTCGTGGCCCAGTGTTGGCAGCACAGCTTCTAACTGGCTCTTTCCGGTTGGAGCCCCTGCTGGGAGTTTGCATTTCCACCAGAGATATACTGAGTCGGAATCTACGTTTTAACAAGATCACCAGGTGAATCTTAGCTATAAATTTGGAGAACCACTGCTCTACTAGTAAAGGAGTCCTAGCGGCACAGTGGTTAAAGTGCTTGACTGCCAACCCAAAGGTCAGCAGTT